TAAAATAATTATTTGGAAGAGGTACAAACAAACAAACAAACCCCGGACCCATTTTTAACATACAAGGACCCCACTGGCTCAAGCTCCATTATCTCACACCCATTAGCATCAAGCCACTTCACAACGAATATGGATGTTGTTACTACCTAGGACCATGCCACTTCATGGATGTTGTTACTACCTAGGACCATGCCAACAGTGTGACGCGGCAGCTAAAAAAGCCAATGCAATTCTGGGCTGCATCAATAGAAGTATAGCATCTAGATCAAGGGAAGTAATAGTGCCACTGTATTCTGCTCTGGTCAGACCTCACCTGGAGTACTGTGTCCAGTTCTGGGCACCACAGTTCAAGAAGGACACTGACAAACTGGAACGTGTCCAGAGGAGGGCAACCAAAATGGTCAAAGGCCTGGAAACGATGCCTTATGAGGAACGGCTAAGGGAGCTGGGCATGTTTAGCCTGGAGAAGAGGAGGTTAAGGGGTGATATGATAGCCATGTTCAAATATATAAAAGGATGTCACATAGAGGAGGGAGAAAGGCTGTTTTCTGCTGCTCAAGAGAAGCGGACACGGAGCAATGGATCCAAACTACAAGAAAGAAGATTCCACCTAAACATTAGGAAGAACTTCCTGACAGTAAGAGCTGTTCGACAGTGGAATTTGCTGCCAAGGAGTGTGGTGGAGTCTCCTTCTTTGGAGGTCTTTAAGCAGAGGCTTGACAACCATATGTCATGAGTGCTCTGATGGTGTTTCCTGCTTGGCAGGGGGTTGGACTCGATGGCCCTTGTGGTCTCTTCCAACTCTATGATTCTATGATTCTATCAGAAGACCCCTGACCTCTAGGGTCACTGAGAAAGGTGAAGGGGCTGAGAGTGCAACAGCTATTCAGGTTTTTTCTTCCTTCTATTTCCTTCCTAACAAGTCTTATCTTTAGATTATAACCCTTGTGCCCATTTCTAATTTTTTGTACAATGAGCCTAGCAAGTTTAGAGGCTTCAATTCTGTTTCCCTTAAAGGAATTATTTTGCAAGCAGGAATGTAGTGAGGTGAATTTACAACCTCTTAAATAAATCTTCTTGGCAGATTGAAATTGACACCAAATTAGTTGTGTATTAAGAAATAATGTTCTCCCTCAAAAGTCTAAGCTCCAAAAATTAAAGTACTTGTGAAAGAGAGAAATTTGGCAGACCAAACACAGCTATTCATTTTTAATCATTTAAATGTAAGCATAATTTCTGCGTTCCTCCTACAACTTTCAAGAATAAAACTCATTTCTACAATACTGTTGAGTCTTTCTTTCAGATGGGGCTGAACCAGTGGAAAATGTCCAATTGCCTGGGTAAGTCAATTTTTGACACAAATATCTAGGAATCTGAAATATTTTCCTAGACTTTTTCTATGTTATCATTTACCTTTACATTTTTATGTTCCTGCGTTGTCTCAGTTACACAGACAAACTGAAATTTTGGTAAGAGTCTTTAGCTTTTCCTGATTACGCTGGCATTAAAAGTTCAACAGAAAAATAATAATAATAATTTAAAAAATCACAACAAATGTTTTTTAAAGGTACTGTTTTTCTACAGTTTAATGCTGAATACACCCACGAGCAGACAACTGAACCCTGACGCAAGTCCTTAATCTTCCTGTCACCTCAAAATTGATATATCTGAAAGGGTGAATCCTGCATTCTTAAAAGGTAACGAAAAATGTAATTTAAATTCGGCTGTTTCATTATTCTGTGGTTAGTCTTTCGGTTGTACCTGCCCATTGGACTTGTATGATAGACTTTAAAAAGAAATTGGTCTATACATACACATATATAACTTGAAAGGTGATCCAGATTTCTTTAATTTCTAGCCATCTATTCATCTTCTGAAAAGCATACAATTTATTTATGCTTTGCATTTATGTGCAATAATCAGGAGTCTTTCCCTGCCCCAGGAGGGGATGCTAGGGATTCAACCTGAGACCTTCTGCTCTAAGCCCTGAGCTACATCCTTCTCCACAAGGTATACCAGGCTGCAGACTGAGCAACCCCTTACAAAATGAGCCAGGGTTATAAGAATGCTCAGAATCAGACAATGCAAAGTTGTTGTTTTTCCCAAAGTCACTCTCTGGGGATGGGGGGAGCTGTAAAATCTCATTACAGTTATATTGTTACAGACAGACCACAATGCTTTCACACTGACTGCATTCAAGGTTGATGAATGACATCAGTCATAATAAGGAGTAGATTATCAAAGGGTAGAATAAGCCTCCCCCCACAAGGGCATAAATTGACACAAGGAGACATGAGCTTCCTTCTCAAGCCTCTACACAAAACAGAAAGGAATTATTATCTCAACTGGGCTTGCCTGCTCCCACTCATCACAAACCTGGCAGCTTTCTAACATCTCTTGAGAGAGTGTTCTGGGGCATTTATTACAACATTTATACCTTGCCTTTCCACTCTTGAGTTCTCAAGGTAGATCAAAATAAACATTAAAATGTTTAGATTAATTAAAAGCGTAAAAAGTACGTCAACACAGAAAATGAAAGCAACACACAATACATGCACACACACAGACGCACTGCAATCCTAACCCCATTTACTTGGAAGTAAGCCCCAGTGAATTCAAGAGGACTTCTAAGTTGATATAGTTAGGAGTGTGCTGTAAACACCAACATGCGTTCATATACAAAAACTGTCTTAACTTGGCACTGGAAACTATAATACACCAGTAAAACTATGAGGCTCATTGGGCAGGGAATTTCATAATCTGGGCAATCTCTCCTTTTCCCATCAGCTGTGCCTCAGCTGGTGGCAGGACACAAAGAAGGCCCAGCTGAGCACATGGGACAGGTAGGATCATGTCTATCTGCTAAATGAGCAACAATAACACAGATATCTGATGATATATGGGCTGCAATGCGGAAAAGCATATACCGTAACAAATCTGTAACACATCACCACAAGACTTTTGATTGTCTTCACCCTAAGGTGCTGTAAGTGTACTCCTTAAAATTGCAAAGTGTGAACTGGGACGACAACACCTCATCTTATTTCCCACCCCCATTCAACATTTACTTAATTATATGCTTTTTTGAGAACCTTGAAGCCTGCCAACAGGCCGGTTTTCTTTTCAAAACAAAAAACCCACCATTAATAGACTTGGCTTCATGCCTGGGACAAAGCTGAGCTCCGTGGGTCAACTGATGTTTGTCTTTCTTACACTTGGAAAGATGCAAACCATTTGGCTAGTGGAAACTTGCTGAAACGAAACTTTGAAAATCCTTGCTCATAGCTGAGGTACAGTCTTATTCTGATTTGAAGATGGAGGGACGCTTTAACTCTTGCAATCCCCAAAGCTTTGCTTTTACAGTAAGAATTGCATGGTGGGGATTTGTTCTGTCAGAAGCACCCGTCTTCCAGAATAATATGACGAAACTCCCAAGGGCACACAAGGGCTTGCTTTGAGGCTAAAATGTCACTCAGGGTTCCTTGGAAGAACAGCAAGACACAAGTGTAATTAAACACAAGATGCTGCCTTATACTGAGTTAGAGCCTTGGTCCATCCAGCTCAGTATTGTCTCAGTTTCAGGCAGGGAATATCTCTGAGCCCTACCTACAGGTGTTCAGAATTGAATCTGAGGCCTTCTGAAATTGAGGAGATCTTCTGGAGATCTTCTGGCACTGAGTGATGGCCCTTTCCCTGATACTTTGGATTGGGCATCTAGAAAAAGTAGGTAAAGGCCACATATCCTTCAATATGGATATCCAACAGTCCTCTGGTCTCTCCTAGAACAATATTTTCTCCTTTGGGCACGGGAAAACAATAAGGAACAGGACAGAGCAAGTCTGATAGGCCCTGAGGGAGCCTTCATCAACCAGGTGCCTTGCAGATGTGTTGGGCTACATCTGTCCCACCCAGCACATCCTGAGGGCAGATAGTTAGCTGTTGTTAGTTTACACTTGTCTAGGACTAACAGAGCAATCCTAACCATGTCACTTTAAGTTATTTTTTTTAAAAAAGGAACTGACTAATGAAATTAACAGCACTGCTACTCATACGTAAGTCATATTGAATTCAATGGAGCTTACACCCAGGTAAGCAGGGTTAGGACAGCTACCTAAACCAGTTTAAATTTCAAGTGCAGTGTAAATGGGTCACAGCTGATGAATGAATGGGGAGGGGGAAATGAAAGGGGGTAAGCTGGGAAATTTTGGCTTAAATTTGATGCAAGAGATGGATGGCCGAATTCCTCCTACACCCCAAACTCCCTCCACAGAAGAGGAACTAATAAAGGAGGAGTTTATACTATTAAAAACCAGACAAAACAACAGCTGGTGTTCCTTGCAACCTACCCAGTTTTGGTTGCTTTTAGGACCAGGCTCTTCATATAATAGCACAAGCTGCAAATTTGGCGAGGAAGGAAGCACCAGGTACACGAAAAGGAAAAGGATTTCAAAGCAGGACCCAGCCAGTTTGGAGAGCTGGAGGGAAGAAATGTGGAAAGAGTATCGACAAAAGGTCACCCCACAGAGAAAAGCTGGCGGGGGAAACCTCTTAGAAGCACAACCTCCCTGGCTGGTGAGGAAACTCGGATTTTAAAAGACCAACGGCAAAAAAGCTGGTCTCAAGAAGCAGCAGCCACGCCAAGAAAGATTCGTACAGAAGTTGAAACGCAGATATAAAAACAGGGTGGTTCATCCTTGCCGTCGCCCCTCCACAAAATGTAAACCCACGCGATGCATGCATCAGTTGAGATTCCTGCATCGCAGGGTTGGACTAGACGACCCTCGGGGTCCCCTTCCAATTCTATGGTTCTGGGAGACAATCTGCCGCCCAAGTTGTAGAGCCAGGATCAACTCCCCTCACAAAACTCCCCGGCTTCCCTTGTCCCAGAAGATAATTTGAGGGCGGAGAAGATAATTTGAGGGGCGGGTGGGGGGCTCCACAGAAGCCCGAGTCAACCTAAAGAGCCAAGGTGGGGCGGTGGGCGTCTCAGCGGTACCCACCTCTCTCCTCCGGCCGCTTCTCTCCCTTCTACCACCCGCGCCGCGTCCGCAGCATCTCCCTTGCAGAAAACGACCTTCCGCCGCTCGCGGCCCCTTTGTGTCCCCTCGGCTAATGCCAGCGTGCTCTGCTTCCCTTTCTCCCGAGGCTGCCGCCGATGCTCCTCCCTTGAGGACGTCCACGCTGAAGCGAGCAGCCTCCGGCTCGCAGGCGATTTTCCCCTTGCAGCCTCCCCAGCCCGCTCCGCCCACCCCGGATTCCTTTCAGGAGCAGACGCGGCGCGCAACGGCTCTCCTGCGCGCTCCTCTTCCCAGGCGGGGGACCGACCTCTCGGCGAGGGCTGCGCCTCTAGGGGACGAGCGGGGCGCGCCGCTCTCGCCCTCTTCTCCTCCTGCTGCCGGGCTCGCTTCCAGCGTGCCTTCATGGGCTTTCTGGCCTCCTCTGCTGGCTTGGAGGAGCCGGCAGGTGCCCTGGCTGCAGGGCTGCGGAAGCCAAGCAGAGAACAGGGGAAGCGGCTCTGGTGGACGCCACCGCCGGCCAGCAAGCAAGTGCCGGGGCGACCTGGGCATTATGGCGCCCCACCAGATATTTATTATTATTTTCACAATCATTCACTCTCTTGCGGGCCCCCACAAAACTGAAAGGGAAAAAAACCCCTGGATTTACATTTCCAAAATATAAGATTAAAAATAAAATAAAACCTACATACAGCAACAGTGTTTTGTATTGTGTAGGCTCCTGTTTGTTATGTGCAAACGGCTTTAGATACCTATTAAATTACCATATGGAATATATTCAACACAAAAAACCTACCATTTGTCGGCAAAAGACAGCTGGACATATAAAGGGCCCCATTACTTTCAGTAGCTTAGCATGGGTAGGCAAACGAAGGCTCAGGGATCGGATCCGGCCCAATCGCCTTCTAAATCCAGCCCACGGACGGTCCGGGAATCAGCGTGTTTTTACATGAGTAGAATGTGTGCTTTTATTTAAAATGCATCTCTGGGTTATTTGTGGGCCATAGGAATTTGTTCATTAATTTTTTTCAAAATATAGTCCAGCCCCCCACAAGGTCTGAGGGACAGTGGACTGGCCCCCTGCTGAAAAAGTTTGCTGACCCCTGGCTTAGGGCCTCATCAAACCTAAATCCAGCTCTGGTACAGTTGCTTTTCTTATGGATCTACTCAGTAGGTGCGCCCATAAATATAGGCAGTGTTCCCCCCCCCTAAAAAGAATGATTAGGGGTACTCTCATTTTCCTACTCATATTGAAATACTGCCCCTCAGTGAAGCCAAACTTAGATTCACAAAACGTTTAGGGGTATGCATACCCCCATAAAAAAGCACTGAATATAATTATTGTTATTTTGAACCCCCTCGGCTTGGCGCCCTGTGTGGGGCGGGAACAGCCTGCACTGCTCTAAATTCAACACTGGCAAGTGTAATTGACTTTCTGAGCTGCAGCAAATGCTAAGCATTTTTGCTAAGGAGCAAGACTTTTGAAGTTCAGTAGGACTTACTTGCCCATGCACACCTTATGTAGATAGCGTTTCTGTGCGCTCTGACTTCCATCACAGTGTCCCGTTGCGCCAGAAGCGGTTTAGTCATGCTGGCCACATGAGCTAGAAATCTGTCTGTGGACAAATGCTGTCTCCCTCGGCCTGAAGCGAGATGAGCGCCGCAACCCCATAGTCGGCTTTGACTGGACTTAACCATCCAGGGGTCCTTTACCATTACCTTTACATGCTGTATATACAGAGCCGTAGCTAGGTAATCTTGTGCCCCTGGCAGAACTGTCCAGATTGGGCCCCCTAATCACAGACAAATTAGCTCTTCTTTCCGCCTCTCCTCCAACCCCCTCCCCCCACCTCCACCCATTCAATTCACCCTCTACTTAAAACCATTTCTTATGAGGCAATAATCAATATTTATATTTATGGACATATTTTAAAGCCAATTTTGCCCGCCCCATCGCCTGGTGGGGCCCACCTCACCACCCCCTAGCTACGGCCCTGTGTATATACAGTGGTACCTCGGGTTAAGTACTTAATTCGTTCTGGAGGTCCGTTCTTAACCTGAAACTGTTCTTAACCTGAAGCACCACTTTAGCTAATGGGGCCTCCTGCTGCCGCCGCGCAGCCGGAGCACGATTTCTGTTCTCATCCTGAAGCAAAGTTCTTAACCTGAGGTACTATTTCTGGGTTAGCGGAGTCTGTAACCTGAAACGTATGTAACTCGAGGTACCACTGTACAGTATTCAGCCGTGTTCACACCATACAGTGGTGCCTCGCAAGACGAAAAGAATCCGTTCCGCGAGTCTCTTCGTCTAGCGGTTTTTTCGTCTTGCGAAGCAACCCTATTAGCGGATTAGCGCTATTAGCGGTTTAGCGGCTATTAAAGGCTTAGCGGCTTAGCTCATACATTAAAAGCACTATGATACCACTTTAAACAGCCATGGCTTCCCCCAAGGAATTCTGGGAGTTGGAGTTTGTTAAGGGTGTGGAGAGTTAGGAAGCCCTGCCATATTCCCCTCCCAGAGCTGCAATTCTCTGAGTTCTCTGTGAAGGGGGATTGTTCGATAAACTGCTCTGAGAATTGTTAGTGGTCTCCTAACAACTCTCAGCAGCCTGAACAAACTACAAGTTCTCTGTGGGGAAAGCCATGACTGCTTAAAAGTGGCATCGCAGTGCTTTAAATGTGTGAATGTGATCTCAAAGTAGAGCTGTTGAAATTTGAGGCCATTAATTTCATTTGGTCTATTCTGTGTAATGCTTAGTTGTGTAGAACCCGCATACTTCAAACCGACCTCAAGCTTCTCCCTAACTTCTTTCATCTAAATGGTTAAGAAGCGCTTCCTTCGTTCCACATTATAAAGGCTGAATCACTGCTATCTGTCCCCATCTCCCCCGCTCCCCATTTCCGAGTGTCACAAATATAGCATGACCAAGTGTGACTAATGTGTCTGACAGAAAACAGTCTCAGATTCAATGTTTTTTTAAAAAAATAAAAATATTTAGCTGAGGGCAGATGAAGGTTGGTGGGGCATTTGCCCTAATGGACAGGCCTCTGCCAAGTTAGGTATGCAAACTGTCGAGTTACAGCAATCATTTCCCACAAACCAACCAGATACTTTCCCCTCCTGCAGTTATTATGTGCAGAAAACTCATTTACAGCATAGCAATGTTATATGCGTAACATTTTTTCCTGCAAACACCCCTTTACTGAGGGGCACAAATTTTAATGTAAGCATGAGTGTTCTGCTCACAGATGTTTTTGCATTATTTTATCTGAAGAACAGAAAGCTATCCAACTGAAACACTTGGGACCTCCACTGGCATGCAGTGAGCTAACAGTTACACAGAGCATGAAAAGTAAATGGATGGGTTTATGCAAACACTGCACCAAAGACTATCACAACGGGCCAGCCAGCCAGTTGAGAAATTGACACAGTTGAGAAAATCCAGAATTGCTGAGGTTAAAGTGTCTGTCAAGAGGCTGCTTGGTTGGAGAATAGAAATAATAAATGTTGTTGGAGTATATTTTGTGAACCTGCTGATTCCAATACAGTAGTGAGCACTTTACAGCCTCTATTCGCTCTTAGGTACCCAATAATCCATTGGAAAAGTAGTTCTTATGTGTTTCCCAAACAACTGGCATTGCTTCTCAGCCAATTGACTAAGATCAAGTGTCAGTATCTATTATTATCAGTGCAATATCTGGTATGTCTGCTACTTGTGGACTGTTCGTATTAAATATATTTTTGGAACTGGGAGATAGAATAGGAACTTGTTCCATTCGCTCCCTGCATCAACTGGGTATTGCAGTATTCCAGGAATAGTGCACCACAATATTTCTGGTTCAAAATTAGACAAAACTAGTTATTCAGGAAAAGAGGCGGCATTGGGAGCAGACCATCAGGCACCTGAGGAAACTTTATTCTGTTTGCCTGGCAAAGAGGAATGGCAGTAGGGATGAAGAACTTAGGATTCAGCTGCCACTTTGGGGGCTTTGGATGCCTGAGGCAGCTGCTTCAGTCCACCTAATGGCTGAGTCAGCTCTGGCTATATCTCACTCACAGCAGCCTGGCCACACACATAAGCTCAGACATTTGCTAGTCTTCTACTGCTGTGCACACTCCAAGTTCATGGTCATCCGTAGGAGATGCATCAAGCAACCTGGGTGCCTGTTCAAGTCAACAGTGCCTAATCTGCTCGGAAGGTAGACGGGTCTCTGCAGTGCAGTTGACCCACTCAGCCACAAATCCCTAGTGAATCCTAGACCTCCACTGCAGGAAGAAACTGTCTAATGGTAAGAGCTGTTTAACAGTGGAACAGACTGCCTCAGGAGTTTATGGGCTCACCTTCACTGGAGGTATTTAAGCAGAGAATCGATAGCCATTTGTCAGGGATGCTGTAGTTGCAAGATTCCTGCATTTGCAGTGCTCTCTAGTGTCAGAAAGCCACCCCTGATCTCACATTTGAGACATTGCAGCTGAAACGATAAACTGTAATTTATCAATTTATTATATATTTAACGAAATGAACAGATACTGTTCTCTTGGCTTTAAAACCAGTTAAAGGTGTAATATGTACCCAGCCTTACTGCACAAAGCACATTCACGCACACACACACACACACAAGAATCCTGGGAATTGTAGCTCTGGTGAGTAGACTACAGTTTCTAGGATTCTTTACAGGGGTGCATGTGGGGTTTAAATGTATGGTGTGAATGCAGATGTTTTCAGTGAAATGGGTGGCAGGTCTATAAAATAAGCTTTGGGAAACTTTGTCAAACCCTTCAATCTGCACTGCTTTCCCATTTAAAACTCCTGCCTCAAACATGGCAAATAGACACGCGCTTGACATTCCTCACCCCCAACATGCTCAAAGCAAAAGAGGAAACTTTTGTATTTTAAAAATGCTTAAAGCGACAACATTTTGTTTCACTGTTAATTATGATGCTGGTTTACATATGTAACTTTATTACATTTTTTTATTTTAACTTGCAATGTTGTATGTGATGTTTTAAGCCATGTGGTAAACCATTTAACGGTTCCACCCCAGAAATGTAAAGCAGAACACAAAAATGTGAAAGACAGACATGCATTTAGAAATTATTTAAAGAAAATGAAACTGGGTTCAGTCAAAAACACTCAAAACACACATAATTAGACCTAGGCTAAAATCCACAATGAGTTTCCTTCTTGATTTCTATGGAGATTTCTCCTTGGGTCCCCAGATGTTGTTGGACTACAACTCCCATCACCCCTAGCTAGTAGGACCAGCGGTCAGGGAGGCGGGAGTTGTAGTCCAACAACGGTCAGTAGGTGGGACAGCTCAGTCTGTAAAACACGAGCCTCTTAATCTCTGAAATCTACACTGGGCAAAAAAAATCCTGAAAAATTGCTTGGCTTGTATTTTTGTATCTTTCTGATTTCACACAATAAAAGCTGTGCTGCATTAGCCCTAGGGGCAGCCATATTTCGGAACCTATTATGGTGTGAGACTGATTTTTCTTTGGATGCCGAGCTGTAACTCGACAATTGGTGCCCCGTGCAAATTGGACCGAAGCTTTGTTTTTAATTCTATCATCTTTGTTTTAAAAATAACAAACAAACAAGAAAAGTCAGAAATGAGAGAAGTTGCTTTATAAACTTTTTATGCTTTAAATGTAATCCTTGCCTCTAAAGTTGGAATTTATGCCTTAATTCATTCTCATTGTTGTATGTATATAACTGATCAATCAACCAATATCTCTGCTACTATTGATCATATGGAACAAATGATAGCCCATAATCCTTTGAATCCACCTGAAGGTTTTGATCCATGGGAGTGGTTGTCTTCTTGGTTACCTAATGGATTATGGTTAAGAAAAATATTATTGATTGTAATTGCATGTATTGCTGGCTTCATTATGGTGTGTTGTTGCATTCAATGCATACCCTCTTTGATTTCCCAATGCACTGCATGGTGGTACCGACCACGGCCCACCACAGGGGTTACAAGAGGAATTTATGTTGCAAAGTGTAGACGCTTAGGCAATGAAGTGTACGATTTGGACTAATGGTCCCTCTTTTCCTCTAATAATATAAACAAGAAAAGGGGACATGTGGGAAAATGATTGCTTGTACATGAGAGCATGAGCAAAGTTCTTATTGTTACAGGGTGATTTCATAGCTAGAAGCATCCTTGGAGCATGAACAGCGCGTGAACAGCTCGACTCAGAGGTCGAAAATAAACAAATATAAACAAATAAATAAACAAAAATAAATAAATCCTGAACCTTTCAGAGCTGGACGATGAACCTCATGGTCCCTTCCAACTCTACATTTCTAACATCTAGGGGCCCAAGTTTAAGAAGGCTGTTTCACTCTAAGAGATATCCGTGGCACCTCTAAGTTCCTATCTCTATGGGAGTGACGCAACGCCGCCCCGGCGCAGGATTTTGAACGAGCGTCGAGCGTGCTCACGTCCATTTGAGCGCGTCGGGAACGGGCGCATGCGCAAATCCCCGGCGGTCTCGCGCGGGGTGCGTGTCGCGTTAAGGCCTTCGCTCTTCCGGCGCGTCGTGCGGGCATCTCCTCGGTCGAGGCCGGTTCGGTAGAAGAAGGTCTCCTGCGGCGGCGGCGTCGGTCGGGGTTCGGAAGGGCTAGAAGAAGAAGCCTCGAGCGGGTGACAGGCGGGCGGGATGTCGGGGCCTACGGGAGGTTCGGCGGGCTCGGCCCGAAAGCGGCTGCTGAAGGAGGAGGACATGACCAAAGTGGAGTTTGAGACCAGCGAGGAGGTGGACGTCACCCCCACCTTCGACACCATGGGCCTCCGCGAGGACCTCCTGCGCGGCATCTACGCCTACGGTGCGCGCGCGCGGAGCCGGCGGGGGGGGGGGGGGGCTGGCCGCGCGGCCCTCTCCGCGGAAGTAGGGCGGGAGGGAGGGAAGGGAAGGGAAGCAGCTCTCCGCCTCCGCCCCCCCGGGACGGTTTCGGCCGTTATTCTTACTTGCGTTCGGTGCTTTTTATGTGTCCTCCTCTGCCCAGGTAGGGCCGGTGTGAGATTTAAATAACGGCGTTAAGATTCGAAAACAATTAAAGGAATACTATATAAGATTTTATAATAATAATAATAATAATAATAATAATAATTATTATTATTATTATTATTATTTAAAAATTATTATTATTATTATTATTTATACCCCGCCCATCTGGCTGAGTTTCCCCAGCCACTCGGGGCGGCTCCCAATCAAATGTTAAAAACAGCACAGCATTAAATACTAAAAACTTCCCTAAACTGGGCTGCCTTCAGATGTCTTTTAAAGAAAAGATAGCTGCTTATTTCCTTCACATCTGAAATTTGGTAGTTGTTGTTCTCTTTGACATTTGGTGGGAGGGCATTGCACAGGGCAGGTGATACTACCGAGAAGGCCCTCTGCCTGGTTCCCTGTAACCTCACTTCTGGCAATGAGGGAACCGCCAGAAGGCCCATGGCGCTGGATCTCAGTGTCCAGGCTGAACGATGAGGGGGGGGGTGGAGACGCTCCTTCAGGTATACAGGACCAAGGCCGTTTAAATGTAGTCCCATTGTAATTCGTCCCCACGTGTTTTTTTATTGGGTTATTTGTTTTACTTCCATGAAATTTATACGCCGCTTGATAGTAAAAACAAAGTGAATTCCTCGAAGCAGCGAAGTCTCCTGCTTAATATCAATCGGCAGGGAGTTCCAAGGTGTAAGCGCCGCCACACTCAATGATCAAGTTCATACAAATGCGGAATGGGTATTATGTAGCACCTGTAGCAGTGCCTAAATAAACTTTTAGTATGTATTGTATTGCTACTGCATTCCAAAACATCAGCTACATCAGTTTTAACGGGCACACTGGTTTTTGTGTATTTTGGGGGGGTGTCTCTCCTTTGTGTTGGTGTATCAAAGTCTACATGACACAATACAAAAGGAAAAGGTGAAGAGGGTTGTGATGAGAATTGCTGTTGCAAAGTGTGCCCAAGATAGGATTTGTTCTGAAATAAATCTGACTTCAAGCATATAAAGCAGTGGTGCTGCTGGACTTGAGCTCTGATCTGCCCCAACTACAACGGGGTGATGGGACTTCTAGTCTAACAACACCTGGAAGGTACCATGTTAGCTACCCTGGATTTGTTTCTTCCTCTTTTCTCCCATAAATGCAAAAGCTTGTATCAGATTTAAACCATACTCAAGAGTAAACCAGTTGAAATCAGTGTACTTAAGTTAGTCATTTAAGTCTGCTGACTTCAGTGGGTGTACTCTGAATATGATAGTTTGATACAACCCTTTGTTATTTACGAAGACATCAAACCAAACTTCCCCTTCTTGGTCATTTGTAGCTGCGTCCCTCATTGAATTTTTACTTTGTGAATTTAGAGATGTGCGAAGTTTGCAGATTGTCGTTGGCCACTTTCATTCCCAAATAATAAATGTTGGCACCTGACTGTCACTTTTTCCTTCCTCTCCCCAGTCTCCTCCCTAGCTCCTATTACTCTTTAAAATTGAGTGCCAACAGCTATAGATTTCAGTGCTTTGGTTTCTAAATGTTGGTTTTATTACAGTATTGCTCTGGCCAATGTTTTTAAGGTACATCGTGTAATTGGAAGGGGAATCTAACCTTTACAAATGAATTTTGTAGGTTTTGAGAAGCCTTCAGCTATCCAGCAGAGAGCTATCAAACAGATCATTAAAGGAAGAGATGTGATTGCACAGTAAGTGAAATTGCGCGCGCACACACACACACACACACGACTTTGGGATATTGTCAGACTAAGAATGCAAATAGTTTATTGAATAATAAGAGTTGGAAGGGACTCCAAGGGTGATCTAGTTCAACCCCCCGCAATGCAAGAATCATAGGTAAAGCATCCTTGACAGAAGGTAATTCAACCTCCGCTTAGAAATTTGCAATAAAAAAATGGGTTCCTATTTATTTATTTTAAAAGTAATAGCAATCCACTTAAAACTCCCCACTCTAAAGGGAGTCAAGGTCTGCCTCACAGGATTGCAGTGTGTGCGTGTTGGTCCTCCACCTCATCCACACAAGCCCTGCCCCAACAGGCCCCCCCAACTCACCAGCTTCATGCTTTACTCAGCTCTTTTCCATGTTCTTTAATTGTAAGGAACGATGCTTTTGAATGCACAGGACTAGAGTAACATCAAGAGGGCAATTTATGGCATGTTTACTCAAAACTAAATCCCATTGGGTTCATTGGGACTCGCTCACTAGTAAGCATGTGTAGAACTGCTGTCTCCATGAACCATTTAGAAAGAGATGCCTTTACTTGGTGTCTTTTACTCTCTGGCACAATCCCATCCAGCTATAATTCTTACCTGTAGGTATAGTTTTTCATAGATTAAGGTTACCAGACATCCCCATTTCCCGGGGACAGTCCCCAGATTTACAAACCAGTCCCCATACAAAATCCATTGAAGTTGAAAAGTGTCCCTGGATTCAATGAAAACAATCTGGTAATTTTATCATAGATGGCATTCATAGGTAGCTGTAGGTGACCTCCCACATTGATCTCATTGTGACCATATACCTATAACTGTCTAAAATTAGAATCTAGGTGTTCAGGGGAATTCTCACTTATTTTGCATGTAAGTTCTAGTATTAGCTTTATCTATTGTAAACCACTTTTATCTTAGGTTAAATAAGCTGTAATGCAGATAATCCCAGTAGACAAAGTTTGTTCCATTTAGAATTGATTAGCACAGTACATATATTAGTCTTAAATTTTATTTGGAGGCTGGTCTCAGGTAGATTTGCATATCTGGTTTCATTAATGGATAATCTATCAAAACTATTTTGATAGTACTCAACAAGGTTAATATTGTATATGGTGATATTTATTGCTTATGTTTTCAGACACAGCTATTAAAAATACTATTCTTTCTAGATCACAGTCTGGAACAGGCAAAACAGCAACGTTTTCCATCTCCGTTCTACAGTGTCTGGACATCCAGGTACCTTTGGAACACAAATACTCAACACTTACTTTTGAAGATGCCAATAGTGTTCTGACTAGTTATAGTATATAATCTCATTGTCTTAACATTGACCAAGGACAGCGTTCCATATTCATCCCATTTTTTGAACATGGGATTTCATCCCAAATAGTCTATACATGCTTTGTCTCATTAAGGGAGATCATAAGCTGATATGTGAACACTTCAGATTTCGAATAACTTTTTAGAAGGAATGAAGGCTGCAACACTTAAACTGTTTCATTTCAATCAGGTTCGTGAAACGCAAGCATTGATATTGGCACCTACCAGAGAATTGGCAGTACAGATTCAGAAGGTAAGCAAATCTTATACAAGATTGTAACTTATGAAAATGGAATGCTGCAGCATCTCTAGGCCCTGTGACAAGCTCTGTTCTCCTTCCACTACAAGCAGCTCAGTTATCTCAGGTGGGTGCAGCATTCTATTGAAGCCTCGGTGCCCTGTGGATGCTTCTAGAGTGGCTGCAAATGTTTCTGCAACTGCCTAAACAGAATGGTGCTGCATACAAGCGCCCTTACACTTAGCACAATCCCAGTGGTCTTTCCTGATTTAAATTCTGAAAGCCCATACAGTGGTGCCTCGCAAGACGGAAAGCCTCGCAAGACGGAAAACCCGCTAGTTTCCGTTTTGAGTTGCTTCGCAAGACGAATTTCCCTATGGGCTTGCTTCGCAAGACGAAACGTCTTGCTAGTCTTGCGATTTTTTCCCCGCCCCCCCCCTTTTCTAAGCCTCTAAGCCGCTAATAGCCTTTTAGCAGCTAAGCTGCTAAGCCTTTAATAGCTGCTAAGCCGCTATAGCGCTAAGCCGCTAATAGGGTTGCTTCGCAAGACGAAAAAACCGCTAGACAAAGAGAATCACGGAACGGATTCTTTTTGTCTTGCGAGGCACCACTGTAATTTGCCTACAGTAAAGGTAAAGGTACCCCTGACCATCAGGTCCAGTCGTGACCGACTCTGGGGTTGCGCGCTCATCTCGCTCTATAGGCCGGGAGCCGGCGCTTGTACACAGATAGCTTCCGGGTCACGTGGCCAGCGTGACTACACCGCTTCTGGCGAACCAGAGCAGCACACGGAAACGCCGTTTACCTTCCCGCCGGAGAGCGGTCCCTATTTATCTACTTGCACTTTGAGGTGCTTTCGAACTGCTAGGTTGACAGGAGCTGGGACCGAACAACGGGAGCTCACCCCGTCGTGGGGATTCGAACCGCCAACCTTCCGATCGGCAAGTCCTAGGCTCCGTGGTTTAGCCCACAGCGCCACCCGCGGTTGCCTACAGTAGCTTCTTGTAATTAGCAGCAAGTCTCAGGCAGGGTTTGAGAACACAGGATTGCAGCAACCTTCCAAATGCTAAGCAAGTTTGAATTGGGTCAGTGCTTGGATGAAAGACTGCCAGGGAGCCCTTTGCATGCCGCCTGGAGTTGTATGATAGAAGAAAAGTAGAATAGCAGTGTGATGTATATAGAATGCATTGCACCATTTAGCACTTCTGAATATATCGAACAGCTGTAGAAATGGCTGCAGCAACAAGACAAAAGAAGTCAAACACTCTTGACTTAGAAAATGAAATAGTATTTACATACAGGAGAATGCGCCTCTTCAGTCTCTGACACATGCATTCACAGGAGATGTCATGGCTCTTGCCAGGGTCCCTGGTTCAGTTACTGTTTGGGTTGTGTAGTACCCTTGAATATAAGCTGTTTGTGTGCTTGCTCCTGCAGGGGCTTCTTGCTCTTGGTGACTACATGAATGTCCAGTGTCATGCTTGTATTGGTGGGACCAACGTTGGTGAAGACATCAGGAAGCTGGATTACGGACAGCATGTTGTTGCTGGCACACCGGGGCGTGTATTTGGTGAGAAGATTAATTTTATTAAGGAGAACCAAAGAATTTGCCTTAATGTTTTGAGTAGATGCTTGTAAGCTTTATGTTCAAGATACTTTTCAGTCCTTAGTTCTGTGCTTCAGGTGTGGAACTACAGCTGTGGTTCTCTTACCCTGTCCTCCCCATTCGTCCCTTATTCTGCACTTTGTCTTAGTTTTAAACAATCTATGAAAGCACCATATAAAGAGAAATGCAACTACAGAAAATTAGGTTAAGTAGTGCTGTTGCTTTGTAACTTTTGTATAATCAGATTTTTTGTGTGCTTGGTAAGTATACCACTGCTGTCATAATCCCAGTTGAGATCAGACTCCCTTTGCTCCTCTGAGCCATCAGTTTGCAGAATAAGAAGTGACTCTCAGCATCTCTGCTAGATCCCTGTTTCTTGACGCAAACCTGAAATCTTTCAGATATGATCCGTCGCAGAAGTCTAAGAACTCGTGCCATCAAAATGTTGGTTTTGGATGAAGCTGATGAAATGCTCAATAAAGGTAAAGAATTATTTTAACCCCAGTGTCCTAAACTTTTGTTGTGGACGCAAGTCATGGGTTTTTTTCTATAAAAATCCAAAACAAGTTTGCCTAAAATGTCGGAGCAATGTGTGTTTTTCTGTCATACAAGTACTTGGAAACTCCTTCCAGGTGGCATCAGGGGGGGAGTTCCTGCGGGCTCGCAAGGCTTGAGGGCGGCAGCCTGTTATGGGGGCTGGGGTTGGGGGAAGCTCGGGCTTCCCCCGCCTCAGCCCCGCGGCTGGGGGGGGAAATAAATTTTTTTTATTCATTCCCCCCCCCCCAAAAAAACGAGGTGCGTCCTATGGGCCAGTGCGTCCTATAGGGCAAAAAATACGGTATTCGAAAAATACGGTATTCGGTATAAGAACTCCGCAAAACCGGAAGTAGTGTTCCAGTTAGCGAATTTTACCTCGGTCTACGAACAGAAACAAAACAGTGGAAGGCACCGGTGGCGGGAGGACTCGTTAGGGAAAGTGCGCCTTGATTTAAGAACGGCTTTGGTTTAAGAATGGACTTCTGGAACGGATTAAGTTTATAAACCGAAGTACCAGTGTACTTGTTAATTATCGGCAAGGCACCAAATAATTATTTGGTAAGTAGGCAGGAAAAATCTATGGCCAAATGTCATCTGCAGCTATAGCCCCCCACACACTGAAGCTTTATGCCATAACATTAAAACAAGTGTGAGTGCACCTTACCTTTTTAGATTGGAGGGGTAAAGTGATGAAAGGTGAGTTTGAGCTCCATGTCGGGCAAAAGATTTCTGCATTGCAGAGGGTTGGACTAGATGATCCTCATGGTCTTTTCCCAACTCTTCAGTTCTACGGTTGCCAGTGCTTCATTCGTTAACAGCTTGCAGAACTGCTAGCTTGTATTTTGTTTGATTGCAAGTCACTTTGGGTTGTCCTGGGCAATATAAAATGACTAAATGCTCCTGCCAACCTAGCAGTTCAAAAGCATGGCAGTGCAAGCAGATAAATAGGTACCGCTGTGGCAGGAAGATAAAACAGCATTTCCGTGCACTCTGGCTTCTGTCACAGTGTTCCATTGTGCCAGAAACGGTTTAGTCATGCTGGCCACATGACCCACATGTCCTGTGGACAAATGCTGGCTCCCTCGGCCTGAAAGCGAGATGAGCGCTGCAATCCCATAGTCACCTTTGACTGGACTTAATCGTCCAGGGGTCCTTTACCTTTTTACCTTTACCTATGTCAAATGAGCCTCACCATTTCAGCAGACAGCCAGCAATACTCCTACCCAAGCAGTTTCTGGGGGTACTCTGGGCTTAAGTTGCCTGAGGCTTTGTAAAGGAATACAGAGATCTTAAACCTTGTTTGGTAGTAAATAGGCAGCCAGTCCATTCTGCACCAGCTGGAGCTTCCAGACCAAGCCCAATAGAGTGCATTGTAATCCAGCCTAGAGGTTACCAACACATGGACTATAGTGATCGGGCATGGAGGAAACAAATTTGGAGTGGCTTTGGTTGTAATAAATGTGCACCAAGGTACAATAAGGTTCTCAAATGTACCCTCTCTTGTTTGGTTGGTTCATCTAGGTTTTAAAGAGCAAATTTATGATGTGTACAGATACCTTCCTCCAGCAACACAGGTGGTTCTGATCAGTGCCACCTTGCCACATGAGATATTGGAGATGACCAACAAATTCATGACTGACCCCATCCGCATTCTGGTCAAGCGGTGAGTGAGTGAGTTTGAGTTTAGCTCACGTTGGTGCTTCCTCTTATATTAGTAGTTCTGAATCTGATGACAGTGACAGTGTTAAATATCTGAAGTATTTTCTCTGAATGCATTTGATTGTTTCCTTCCTGATCCTTGTCCTGCTGTCTAAATTCTTCTGGAGGGTATGAAAACTGGGATTTTGGCCCCATTGGGTTTTCTTGAGGCAGATACAAAAGTGTTTTGTAAACATTGTACTTAGCATTTGTATAGCACTTTGCCTGCATATTCAAAAAGCACGCTGTAAGGCATGTCATTGTTATCCCCATATTACAAATGGGAAGCTGCAAACAGAGGCTGAGAGGTTATTGACCACCCTAAGGCCACTTAATAGGTTTGTGGCTCAGGTGGGGACTTTCCAGCTCTTATCCACCACATTGTGTCACTTCTCTTTGCCTTCTTAATTGCAGAATCAACTACTGAGTTTTAAAATTGGACAGATTTGCACTATATTACCATCTGGCAAGTTAACTATAGGCATTCCTGTAGACTTGAATGGGCAGTTCTAGAGAATAACACTGCAGTGATAAATGTTCAGTTTTATAAATGTAATGTCTTTAACAATTTAAAGTCGATCAGCTCAAAATTTCAACCCCCTCCTGTCTCAATCCAGTGATGAGTTGACGCTAGAAGGGATCAAACAGTTCTTTGTGGCGGTGGAGAGGGAAGAATGGAAGTTTGATACATTGTGTGACCTGTATGACACACTCACCATCACACAGGCTGTCATCTTCTGTAACACCAAGAGAAAGGTACGTCAGCAACAAACAATGCCTGATTTAGTCAAGTCGTGATTCATGTTGGCGCTGACAGTTGGGCAGAACTAAAACTAACTTTTTTGGAGGATTACTCCTGCCAAATTTAAAAATTAACTGACTGCTCCCTGGCTCAGGTTGACTGGCTGACTGAGAAGATGAGAGAAGCAAACTTCACTGTTTCATCCATGCATGGTGACATGCCCCAGAAGGAAAGGGAGTCCATCATGAAAGAATTCAGATCTGGGGCAAGGTATGGCAGTAATTTTTGAATATAGCAGGGATGGGGGAACATTTCTGGAAAGAGAGCCATGTTATCCTACTGGATAGGTGTTAGGGTCGTCCCCCCCAACAGCGGGCAGAGCAGGACCCAGAATTGGGCAGAACAAGATCCCAAGCTATTTCCCATGGACACAGAAGTATATATATAATTATTAAATCCATTCACGTTCACCTTTCCCCAGAGACTTTTACCAAGGTTGTGTGTGTTTAAGTTGGCCAGTACCCTTTGTCCTTGCTTTGCAAAAGGCAAAAAGAACAGGGTTATCCTAGCAGAAGAATGCAGATAGAATGAACGCACAGCTGAACAAGTCTTGTGAAGTAGCCTGCATAGAACTTTGAAATGAAATTTCATCCTGAAAATTGCATGCATGCCATTATAAAATCATGGACAACTCTTTGCATATTTGCAGAAAACACAAGTCTGTGAAGACATTTTCCTTTCTACTTGGATCTTTTGCAGTAATTTTTGCAGACAAAGGAACAAGTGTAATTTATGAGGGCCTCTGCAATTCAATAACTGCTTTTTTCTTTTTCTTTATACAGCCGAGTTCTTATTTCTACAGATGTTTGGGCTAGAGGTTTGGATGTTCCTCAGGTGTCCCTGATTATTAACTATGACTTGCCAAACAACAGAGAATTGTATATACACAGGTAAGTGTGCACGTATATTAAACTCTTATTTTGCAATGGGAAGCTTTGAAAAAGGTTTTGGGGGAGCAGCTTTCCCTCTCCAGCTGTCTAAAAGTGGGGGAGCAAGTGAAAAGGGAGATACTTGGATGTTTTGGGGGGACACTTAAGATTTCTTCCAGAAAAAATGATGGAAGATTTCAGAATATGGTGTTTAACAAAGAAAATGCTCCCGCTTTTTTATCCTCACAAAACTTACATTTAACATGAAAGATGTGCCTTTTAAAAAACTTGTAAGATGAATTGTTGTATAGAATATATGGCACATGTCCATCATTAGTAGTTTTTTGGTTGGTTGAAGTTTTTTTTTGGTTGCCCTGAGCAAGATAAATGTAAACAAATGTAAAAAATAAACAGTATAGGAAAATTCTGATTTGTGTGATAATTGCTTATTTAATTTCACTGATTCTGAGTCCCGCTCTTGCCCCACCAGGATTGGTAGATCAGGCCGCTACGGCCGGAAAGGTGTCGCCATCAACTTTGTAAAGAATGACGACATCCGTATTCTGCGAGACATTGAGCAGTACTATTCCACTCAGATTGATGAAATGCCCATGAATGGTGAGTATCTGATTCTTTGCTTAACCTGGTCCTACTCAGGCAGATAGCCATCATCTTCTTTGGATTGACTGGTTACATTGCATGTATGAAATAAATAGCTGTTCACTAATCAAACAGCTTTGATTGCTGAAGGGCAGGAAGATAGGCCTTCCATCACACGCAGCATGCCAGCTCAGTGGTGAACAGGCTCCATAATTGTATTAGTGCTGTACAGTACAGACAGTTTAAATTGGACCTGTTGTCCCAGCTGGAATCCTGTTGATAGATGAGAGATGATATGGAATTATGCACAAATATTAATGCTAAGCAAGCTTGTGCAAATGTTACTCCTGCCATACAATATAGCAAGGAAATAAAAACAAAACCCTGAGAGTTTAACTCTCTTAAACTTCCATCAGCTCCATCCACATGCATTCCCTATCAAAGTTAGTTGCATTTTCTTAGCCATATACTTCATAATGGACTATGTGGTGGATATTAGGAATCCAGGGCTCTGTGCTCCTCCATATTGGACACTTCCCACTGTGCCAGACTGTCTCCCCAGCCTTCTGTGTATTGCAATTGCGTCTCTTCCCTGGTCCCCTAACCATAATTTCATCTTTGTTCATGTGCATAAAGTTGTAAGCCAGATGTCAAATCGATAAATGTTTGGCTTGACCCTCAAGTATTGTGATAAATACGGTTTGCACTCAGCTCATTATCATGCCTTCATTATGTTATCTCTTTCTTTAATCTAGTTGCTGACCTTATTTGAAGGAACAGGATGGACTGAAGACTTTTAGCTGTGATTTGTTACAGCACCGGCTGCTGTTCACGGCTTCTTATCTTAAGACCAGGTTGTTGTAACTCTAAAATAGCTATATGTACATCTGATTCAATTAGGCCTGTACTTCTGAATATGGTTCTGAAAGATCAGAGTTGGTGAAAAGCATATTGGAAGCAGCTACAAGTTTGTGGTGATATTTTTTTAAAAAAAACATTGTCATTGTGGGAATACCCTAAATGTAGAAAACTGTCTTTTTAATTTTCTTGATGGAAACTGTAAAAGTAGCATCTCTGTAAATAAGGTGTTCATTGTCATCCTGCCTGCTACTATCTTTTTTTTCTGATTAAAACAATGAAGTTTTCATATAAATTCCTTGTCAGCTGAATGGCAACTGGTGCTTTAGAACAAGTTGTTCTGGTGTTATGCCTCTCAAACAGGGTCAAATGATTTTTAATTAGCAAATGAAGAGGTCAGTTTAAATGAAGTTTCTGATGATGCTATTTTATATATTTTCTAATTAAAGGTGCAGTGCAAGGGAATGCACTGTAGACATTTTCATGCTTTTTTCCACTGTTCTAAAATCTTATTTATGTATTTATAGCAGGGAAGTGGTAACTTCCAATCTGTGTGTATTGCAAGTACTGATAAAAGATTTTACCATGCCAAATTTTACGTCAGATGCAGAGGTATGTTAAGATTGACTGCTTTGCTAGAGCAGTACAGATGACTGTACAGTATTGCCACATAGTTATGTACACTCCGAGTTACCTTAAAGTGACTGTAATGTATCAACTATGGTTAGGCAGCATTTGCATGTGGACTTTCATTCTGTAGTGCTTTTTAAATGGTTGAATGCTGTTTCTAGCCTTTAGTGACCAACCTGAGCATCATTGTTAAAGTGGTCTTCATTTGAAGTGTGGACCACAATAATGGTTGAGCTCCTCTCCAAGGTGAATCACATGAAAGTTAGCAGCCCTATCTCCCTCAGTGTTCCTGTACAGAATGTTTACTGTGTTTAAACATCTGGGGGTTGAATCCAGTTGGACAGCTTTTGATCTAGCACATACCTCTGCTGATAGTTGACTTTTGCTGATTCTTCCCATTGCAATACCTCTTTAAAATTTGTTCCAGAGAGTTGGAGACACCTTGCAGAACTAGGTGGAAAGCAGTATGGGGCGGCTGAAGGCTGTGAAAAATAGCCTCCTCCCCTCTTCTTCTTTAGTAGCAGCACCTGCTGGGTCAAAAGCTGTTGGGTTCTTTGCCGTGTAATGAACTTTGACTGGCACTTAAGTTGCACAGAGAACTGAACACCATTTTGTAAAAGTTAGTCTCTTATGCTTACAAATAACCATTGCTGGCCAGCACATCAAGAGACGCTATATAGTTGATACAGTAAAGTTACATCAACATTTCTAAATAAAAATCATGAGTTTAATTTCATATATACACAATTGATTTTAATAATGTACCGGAAAATAAATTACAGGAAATAACTTTAAAATGCAACTGAGGACAAAGTTTCACAACAAACATTCCCACTGATTTCCCATGGGGGTGAGATTGCAGTGCTCAAGGCAGTAAATATCACAAATATATCAAAAAACTCCAAATTGTGTTGATGCATTCACACATTTACATGAGCCACAAACATTCCTTTACAGGGACCGTACTTTGCCTATCACAGAACCAGGTTTTGCCATAAACTACAAAACTTTGATACAAAATTGTATTTATATATTTATATTTTTTACATGCCCTGTGGTTTCTTAAAAAATAACTAGACACACTGTACAGACAATCCTAACTCATTGCTTTGTAGCTGTAGGCAACGGCTTTTGTTTTTGGATGGATTTTCTCCCCCGCGAGTCGTATTAATGGCATTATATATACATGAAGGCTAAAACTGCAGAGAAAATCTGCTCTCGTTTCTCAATACGCGTATCCTGTAGGACAAGGTCTCCAAAGTTTAAAAGGCAAGACAATGTACACTTGAAGATAGCTTCCTTGGCTACAATTGTTACCTCTAAATGTAATTTCTGTGGAGATAGTACACATGCATTTGGGTAATACTGGTAGAAAAGGCAGAAAAGCAAGGAGTAGCTAAATGTAGTGGCTCAAACATGACTCCGCAGCTGACTGCGACTGCTGATATGTCAGCTGGATTCATCATGTTAACGGTTTACAAGTGTTCACAAAGTTAAAATATTTGATGGGATATTTTGTGGCTACATACATTCTGTTAAAAGATTTCCTTGTATAGGCTCGATAAATTACTTCCCTGAAAAACCCTTTTACAGTGGATATGTTTCTGCAAGACAGAGCCCACACCACCTCCCCCTGGGTACACTAGTGTCGAAGCAGATACCTCACTTTCCTGTTCTCTGTGGCATTGGGGCTGTTGTCTCAGAAGCAAAAAAGAGGAGAAAGCCTTAAAAGCCATCAAAACTTCTTACCCTGCACCCGCACCCTCCCCCAATGTGACGGCAGCAAATTGAGAAGCCAGTCAGAATAATCTACTTCTCTAGAGTCAATGTAAACTTTGGTTTATTGAGTTCTCATTGTACAGCAAGCAAGTCTAGGATGGGCAGGCAGATGAAAGGAGATGAATGGTCAATCTGTCTTTAATCTGGCATGCTGAGACATCTGTTCAGTCAGGCCTGCTTTGAGAGAGTTTGTAACCGATTGTCTCATAGTATCCTCAATCAAATTATCACCAAGAGGTTTTATCACCTGCAGCATGAGAAATGTACAAAAATAAATAAGCGTAACTCAAAACCCCAAACCCGCTGAAACAAAAAAAAAAAAAAGAAATTAGACAGAACAAAAATTAAAATCATGTATGAAATGCATCCCAAAGTATAATACAAAAAGGAAAAAAAAAGATGAGTTTGGCTACCAGCATATGGTTAATAATTTCCAGAGCATTAAGTGGTTTCCTCCTATGTAGTATTTGACTGAATCCAAATCACTTTACAATTCCTAGAACGTCAGGTGCAATTTCATACCCTATAATGCATCTTCAACCTGGTATGTTTATAGCATTTATGTAAAGTGGGCCAGATGGTCCTGCTTACTGTCTATACGAGTTAAGTGTGAACGCTTCAGAAAGGAAAGGAAAAGAAAAGGGTAAAAATACTGGCTAATTTTTCTTCTTGTTATTGTTGGATGAGAGCCGCTGCCGTTGTGCTGAGGTAAGAGCACGGCGAATCACTCGACGTCTAACAACTTCAAAGAATTTGGAACACACCTAAAACATGGAAGCGAGTTGTTAGAAAAGCAGTTGGCAGAGAGCAGGGGGAAGGGGAAAGCAGTCTGGGTGTTAAAGTCAGTCCCCACTGATATTCTCACCTTCTTGGGACTCCTCTGAAGCAAAGGAAGAAAGAGACAAGAGACAGGAAGGTGTAAGGTCAGTAGTGAAGGATAGGAGTTAGACACTGAACAAGACAAATTTTGCTTTCAAAATGTGCAGGCTGATCTTGTAGGCTGGGGTCTGCCTTTTCAATCCTAACTGCTGGGCCTTAAAGTTTAGAACAGGTTATTCAAATTCACAAAAGATTTGGAGTGCAGCTTTGACAGTTCTATACAGTGGTACCTCAGGTTAAGTATTTAATTTGTCCTGGAGGACTGTTCTTAACCTGAAGCACTACTTTAGCTAATGGGGCCTCCTGCTGCTGCTGCGCCGCCGGAGCACAATTTCTGTTCTCATCCTGAAGCAAAGTTCTTAACCCAAGGTACTATTTCTGGGTTAGCGGAGTCTGTAACCTGAAGAGTATGTAACCCGAGGTACCACTGTACCACAATCTACCAAGGTACTGCACCAAAAGAGAGTTCAAGAACAGTAAAAAAGCTTTCTCCAAAGGTTAATGAAAAGCATCTGGCTATTAGCAGTACAGGATCTGCTGTGTATGCTGAAGACACAGGTTCAGTTTCCAGCATTTCCAGGTCGGGCTGAGAAACCTAGAGAGCTTCTGCTAGTCAGTGTTGACGATACTGAGCAAGATGACCCAACTCTGTACAAGGGAGATTCCCAAGTTCCTGGGCATGGAGCAAGTTTCAATCGGTAAAAGGTCATTTCCATGAGAAGAATCAATAAGCAAGTGAGAATTTAAAAAACATTCTGAGTAAATCTATAGAAGCTGCATGTACTATATCCATGGGTGGCTTTGCAGTAGTGGAAGCCGGGAGATCCCAATCCTGCCACAGCCCATCCAGCCATACTGCAAGCTGTTTTGGAGGGTCCCCCAAAGTGCAGGGTGTCCCATTCTGCTAGGACAAAGCCACTATTGGATACAACCCTTTATTTCCAAGCCCCATCAGTAAAGGTAAGGTCTCCAGATGCAGCAGAAGGGGTGTTCATTTAGCACATGGGCTACAGAGATTTCTACTATATTGTCTACAAACAGAACTGTAGCTGGACCACGACAGGACTGCTTGAATCAAGTATCTTTGGTAGCTGGTTGGTCGCTCAGGATACTGGAATAGATCAGTTGTGCTCTTTCTACACCTTAGTGATATTCAGTACCCAAATCTTATAAAAGTTGTTTGTGGGGGGCAACATCCTAGTTCTATAAAAGCTCGGAGCAACCTTCCTACTCTTACACTTCTAAAAGAAGTGGACCTGCGGCTGCTCCTGGCTGCAAAATTCCAGTTAGCCAGCAGGTGGCAATATAAGGACATCCTTTTAGTCATGCAACAGGACTCAGTAGAAAAAAATGACTCTTAGGCAAAGTCTAACCTAGGTTAAATAATGAGGGGACTCAACATGTGTACATGAAAAGCCACAAAGTACAAAGTCAGAGCCAATGGTGGGCTACACATGGTGTGTTTGTGTTTCATTCTTTACATATTTACAATTCAAGATTCCTCCCATCTCTAGTTTCAGATTAAGGCCGTTTACTAAGAGTAAGCCCTACTGAACACAGTGGGACTCACCTCAGAGAAAACATGCAAAGGATTGTGCTAAGGGAACTATTAATTAGTTGATGAGAATTTCTTGGAAGCTGCTACAGCAGAGCACAATGTGGCTTCTTTTGTTCAGGTTTAATCAAGAAGAATTCATGTGAAAATCTTTTTGAACAAAGAACTCGGAAACCCTTTGCTGAAGTGCATACATACCTTGACATGGCCAGCCATTGATGGCTCATAGTCCTTCCCCTACACAATAGGAATTTTAATGAAAAACCTCCTACCATGTGCCTAATGAAAGCTTTATGCTTGTCACATTCCAATTCCAAATCTCCTGCTGACATGTTTATGCACTTCGTCTGTATAGCAGTCTTTAAGAACTGATCATTTTATGAACGAGCAATTTTAGTGTGCAGTAAACAAGCCAACGTATGCTACAGCAGACAGTCCTATAATGTACTCAAGCTCAACTTCCATGAATTTTCCATTCAGTGTCATGACAGCCAAATATGGAATCAGAACTGCTAGGATCTTCAAATACCCATCATCTTTGGAAAGGCAGTTCTTACTTACCTTTTAAGAGTATAAACCAAACCTGTGCCTTTTATGGACACACACAAAGGGAGATGAACTTACATTACTACCTCTCCCTTCTAGGGATTTTCAAAATCTGGTTGTATGATTGGGCACGGAGGTACTAAAAAAAATATTCTGGGTGGATTTCAAAGGCTATTTCCACCAGGTTCATTCTTTAGTGATTTATTTCTGGTGTTTGTTCTTCAATCTTGCAGGAGGGGCATTTAGACCAACTACTGCTCAAGAACAGCAAAGTTGGCAAGTTTCTTCTGGAAGGAAAACTTTTAGCTCAAAGGTACCCACCTGATCCCATAGTAGCTCAGCCATCTGATCAATGAGTGTTCCAACTTCTCTGAATTCCCCAGAGTATTTAACGTATGCCCAAGTACAAAGGGATATGAGTGCAACCCCCATTACAAGGTTACATAGGGTAGCTATGGAGTTCATTCCGAGGAAGCCAGTCAGTCCTGAGATTATGTACATGGCAAACATAACAGCAAAGAGAGTAGCAGGGGTACGGGCAGCATAGAAGAGGTTCTTGCCATCGTTGTGCTTCACAAAGTTTGCATAGACTTCGTCGAGCTCTTCATCAAGGTGGTCCTGGTAACGGCGACAGAAATCCTCACCTCCCATCTTTTTCACAGAACGGAACTGTTTTATGGCAAGCTCCTTTAGATCTTGGTGCTTTCGCTCTAAGTCTGCTGGAGCAATATAAGGCTTATCTCCTCCACAAACCTGTTGGAATAAGCAGAATCGACCTTTTAGCTTACATTATGTTAGAATTCGCCTAGCGTTATAGGGGTACGAGGGCTACAGGTGTAAGTTACCACACACAAAAAAGATGCAGTGTTTATTCTATTGGACAAGGACTAGGAAGATCCGGGTTCAAATCCTCGCTCGGCTACAAAGCTCACTGGATTACCTTGAACCCGTCACTATCCCTCAAGACCAGCCTATCTCACAGGGTTGCGAGGACAAGTGAGAGGCAGAGAACCATGCATACCTTTGCAGAAAAGGCAGAATAAGTTTAAATAAATAAAAAAAAGGAGGTGAAGGAGGAAGCTTCCCTTCACTGCTCCTTTTAAAAAATGTAGTAGCTCTCCAGCATCACCTTCGGAAAGACTGCTGCTTGTGCCTAAATCAGACTGACGCATGTGGAGCAAGGGCAACCAAAGGGCATTAATGTGTTAATTTTACATCGCCTTTATATATATATAGCACCACATAACAGCTCCAGAGCCATTCACGATCCTTCCAGTGTACTAGCTAAGCAATTCATCCGAAGGCTGATGCAGGCATAACATCCATGCTTAAGCGACCATGCTGCAGAATCTGCCTTCCTTACCAGCTGTTCCCATTTCTTTACCTCCCTCAAACCTCAACATCACAATTTGAAAGTTTCTCTGCACTAACGTTAATCTTGGTATATTCAGGTACATTTGAGCGGCATTATTCCCCAGCCCCATTAATATTTTCCCCACTTCCTTTTCTGTGTTCAATTTGCAAATAAAAAGTAAAAAGTCTTAGAAGCAGGCAACACCACAGCTCAGACTTTGATTTATTTATATACTGGAACCATGTGCAAAGAAGTAGCTCACGGTGTCTGTATTCAGAATTAAGGAACAGGGTGCGCCTTTCTCAAACATCCTTGACAATCCACTGCAAATCACTCAGAGATTTATTGGTAGATCTTGATCTACCTGTTCTTGGTTTATGAGATCTAAGCTCAAATATCTACCCAGTGCAGAGCAGTTCTTAAGATTAAACTAAAAGCATGCAACGTATGGTTCATTCACATCAATACCTGCTCCATTCCTTTGTTGTAAGTATCTTTTGCTCCAGCTACTGCAGCAAGGTTGTTGGCTTCTGCTGTTGCCTTAAGTTTAAAAAAAACAAAGCATAACAAGTGACACTAAACAGCTTGGAGGAGTTTCATTTGTGTCATAGTTTCCATATTTATGATCTGAATACCAAATGAATGTATTCTTACCATATTTTCATACCCTAAACTCCTGAATCATTACTTGCAACACCCACCCTCTGATGTCAGCTCTTGGACAGAATTGCTTGGCAATCTTAAGAGAGTTTTCTGGGCTAATCTGCTGCAGTTACCAGAAAGAAAATCCTAAAAAACACTGCTTTACGAGAAACTCACACTGAAGAAAGGCACGTCAAGGTACTAGATGGGAAAGACCCATTTAATCTCAGTTTATCTGACAGCACAAGTTGGCCATGTGCAGAATCACTGTACACCTTGGTTTGTCACGCTGACATTTAACCTTTGTATGCATAAAGCTTCCATTTCAGCATCTAGGTGGGAAACCTCTGACCCATGGGCCAAACTTGGCTTGCCAGGCCTCCCTCATACGTAACATTGGGTGTGGGGCAGGCAAGGGTGGGGCTTCAAATGAACAATTGGGAGTTTAAAGTGGGCTCCCAGTTATTTCTTCGCTGAAGCAGGGCATGCCCCCATCTGAGGCAGAAATGTACTGATCTGGGATTTCAATCCCCAGATCTTGAAATGTCTCCATTAACATAGTATAAGGACACAAAAAGAAACGGCAGGATCAGGCCGATGGCTTATCTAGTCCAGCATCCTGTTCTCTCAGTCGCCAACCAGAGGCCTATGGGAAGCCTGCAAGCAGAACTTGAGCACAACAGCACTGTCCCCTCCTGCAGTTTCCAGCAGCTTTTATTCACAAGCATACAGCCTCTGACCATCAGCTGGGCTGATCTGTATCAAACACTCTTGGCGTCAGATACCTTTAGAGACAGAAGTGTACAAAACTTTACCTGAAGCATTGACTTAGGGTGAGGCAGCTCCTCTCCTTGATAGATTTTAATATAAGCCTAAAAGCAAAGCAAGGTTTTACTGTCTAGTTTCAATCGACTAGAAAAGCAGATTTTAAACACAACACCCAAAATTCAAGTTCCATTAAATAATATAACTTACTGGATTAAGGTGGTCTATCATGTCATTAAATAATATAACTTACTGGATTAAGGTGGTCTATCATGTCCACCAATATTAAATGTTATACTTTTTAAGCAATGTTGAAGATTGGATTCACTGAAAAACCACCATGCTGTAGGGAAGCATAACCATAATTAAAGGTGGTTTTCCTAGGAGCATTTTGTTGGGTGTGCTTTTTGTAAGTGCTCTGCACCAATAGATGGGTGCAGCAACACAGTTCAAGGACAATAATAATAATAATAATAATTTATTATTTGTACTTTCGTTGTCCCCGAGAGGGGGCAATGACAATAAAGATATTATTATTATTATTATTATTATTATTATTATTATTATTATTATTACCCCGCCCATCTGGCTGGGTTTCCCCAGCCACTCTGGTTTCCACAGAAACCAAAAAAACACTAAAATATCATACATTAAAAACTTCCCTGAAGTAGACTCCATGCTGCCCCACATATGCCAACTTTGGGTGATGACAAATCAGATGTGATTGCCTACTCTTTGCTACAAAACACTGCAACCACCAGCCAGAGCAGGAGACTACTACTTCAAGAACAGGAGTTTGCAGATTAAGCTCCTGGATAGTGTATCTGCATCACTCCAGGGGCAACTGGAAACCACTTTGCATCATAAAGAGCAAAACAGTCTAATTAGATTTGGGGCAACCTGGGGTGAGTGAAGTTGCCCATATAGCAAAGGGTTGGTTTATGTACATCAATATGCTGGAAGAGCCAGGAAAGGAAACAACATTGAAAGTCTCAACTGAAAATTGGGGCCATATAGCTGCAGAAAGCTTCTTTTCTCTAGCAAGAGCATAGTTAACAGAACAGAAAAAAGAACTAAGCTTGATGACCAAAAAACTGCCATGCCTTTGATTATGCTGGCCATAACGTGCACACTACTGCATTTCAATGGGTCTCTGTCACTTAACAGGGTGCTGACCTACAAGCTGAAGGGCTTATGATAGGTTCACTATTTTAAAGAACTGATCAATGAGCACAAGTATTTGCCTACCTTGAAATATTGCACAAGATCTCTACATGTCACCTTCGAGCCACTGATCTCTTTCTCTACCAGGTTTTCAGGAGCAAGCAGCAATGGAACCAGATTCCGTAGCTCACTCTTAAAGTCGTCATCAATGTCTAGTGGAATCAGTCACAGAAAAGGAGTTGCAATTTTGCCGCAATTAACAAGACGCTCCTTCTCTCCAGAGTCAGTGGCGGCTTAACATGATGTGAAACATCCCAACTCAATAATTGGATATCCAAAAAGAAAGAAAAACCTTCAAACCTTAGCCAATGCTGAAGGTTGTTTCATTAAAAGATTGCCAGTCCTTTATAACAAGGCTATCCAAAAACCAGAGCAGCAACAGCAGCACTGTCATCGATTTGTGTTCTTGAATCAGAAACACAAGATTAGCAAGATCTTTATTGTCCCAGTTTATTTCTAAAATGCTGTGAATGTTAGATCTAACAAGTACTCACATAAAAAAATTCAGTCGCCTAATATATGCCCTGGCTGATGGCTACTTTGCTGGGTGCTCTATTCCAAGCACAGAAGAAGTGAGCAAAAACTTATCAGTGAAATATAAACATTGCTTCAGGTGTGTGTAAGAGTTTCTATTTATGCCCATCCGAAAGAATATAAATAAAAATACAGCATTAAAAATATGCAATGATAGGCAGCTGCTGTTTTTTAAGCATGTCCAGATTCTCTTGAAGCTCCCCCCCACACTCCCAGCTAGCATGCCTATACAGTTCTAGTACAGTAAGTTTCTCAAAACAAAAGCCCAGTTCAGATGTAATGGGAAACCATGTTGGCAACAGTCTGGCTTTGTTCCCCTCACTCCACTTTCATTACTGTGTAGGTTTCAATCAAACATCCCATTCACTGTTGTAAGAAGCGTATAAAATGCGTTTCAAATATATACACTAGTGCCCCCACAACACCCATCAACTGAATATTTGACTACAGCATTCAAACAGAATTTATACTAACATCTCCTTCTCCAATAAGCATATTACTCTATATATCAGAGCTCATCCGTACTAAATTTTAGAATTATGTGCACTTCATCTACCACCTTCAGTACATTTGCACTTGAATACAGATTCAGATCAGTAATCTATTAAAGCCAGGAATACAAATGAAAAACCTCATACCGTTTAGCCTCCCATCAAAGCTTGGGTTTGTTGCGACTTTAAGACCAGGATGTGGCAATAGGAAACAGCCAAGATTACTGAAACATGAGTGAATGTGCTTCCTTACATTCTGGAGCTCTTCGTGCTGGTGCACCTTAACCTACAAGCAAAACACATTTTTCACAACACAATCTTATCAGAGATGTTATACATCCTTCTGGCTCCAGAGTTTAGTATTACTTTTATTACAGAGAATATTAAAGCTGACCTAATCCAAAACAATTGCTTTTAGGTTCTATGTAGTGCAGCTCTCATGAACCAAGTTCTCGTTTGTTTAGGAACATGGTCTTACTAACGATTTACTGCAGGTCATAGCTTACCTGTAACCGTTTTTCTAGAAATTGTTTTCCTCCAACTAAGCCATATGGATGTTCATAAGGATAGCTCCAGTCTCTAATTAAGAACATTAGTGTCTATATGAGAGAGACAAAAGTAACCGTTAACTGTTGCCCTGGCCAACAGAAGAACATGCATAACTAGAAATACTCAGAAGCTGAACAAGTAGGATTTTAATCTCCAAAACATAAGCAGCCTGAAAATGCCACCATGGAAGCCATAGTTTAACCTCGGCCTTTCCATAAAAATTATACACCAACTGCTTTGCCATGTGCACAAGGTTTGGTCACAAAAATACGGCTTTTGGCTACCATCAACAAGCCTGTTAAGGCCAATAGCTTTATAGCAGACTGAGCCAATACTATATGAACTTTGACAGGAACCTTTACCCATTATGGCTTAGGCAACTTACACACAATCACCATGAAACACGTGATGGAGCCCAGGGAAAATATGGCTGTCCTGATCTACATGTACTATCAATGTGTAAGGTTAGGAACTAGGTAGCCGCCCTAAATGTTTTGCAGGAGTTGGTATATGCTATGATTAATACTTACTGGATTCTACTGTAATGTGTGAAACTGTCCTAAGATGTTAAATATACATACAAAAATTAATTAACTATGACCAATATAATCATGGTATTACCTGAAATGGCTTTTGATAAATTTCTTCCATAGCTAGCCTTCCGTACTCTGTAAACAACTATAAAACGAAGCCATTAAGCATGCATTGAGAGTACAGAAACAGACAGTACTGCAACACATGCTCAGACAGACACTAAAGTAGCCCAATACTGGATTTCAAGTCATTATTCATCATTGTTAGGTGCTTGCACTGACCAAGCTTTTAATACAAAGGAAAGCCATATACAGTCATACCTTGGTTCTCGAACGGAATCCGTTGCAGAAGTCCATTTGACTTTTGAAAATATTTGAAAACCAAAGCTGTGGAAGCCACGTTGGACATTCGGCTTCCAAAAAACGTTTGCAAACCAGAACACTCACTTCTGGGTTTGCAGCGTTCGGGAGCCAAAACGTTCAAGTCGCAAGGCATTTGAGAACCACAGTACAACAGTATTCCAATCCATTAATAAGGCCTGCAGTACTAAACAACTTTTTGCCTACTTCTACTGTCTTGTGACTCAACAGTAGTCCTCTGTTTAATAGGAGCCAACCTACTTTTGCCAATTGTGGCAATAAAATGGCTACTATAAATACATAATACTATACAATATTGCTGCTTTGTAAAAAGAAAAGGAAAAACTACTGCATTAGCCATTTGGGGTCACAATGTTCAGTATGTCTGGGAACACCTCCCTTTAAAGCTGATAACTGAAAAATAAATCGACTAGCTTGTCCCATAGGCAGCTCTAAAAATTGTGCTCCAATCTGAATATTTACCAATTCTTTAATTTTATCTTCTAGCGGTATGTACCAGCAGTGCCCACCTCCCCATATTATCTATGTCACGGTTACTTTTGACCCATGCTGTCCGACTTCAAAACTATCCCAAAACCAGAAAGATCATCTTTTAGTGGCAAGATCCCGATGCTTCCATTACTCTTCCACCAAGCAGCTCTACCAACCAAATAATTTCATTCTTCAAACCTAGCATCCTTCTGTTGAATCATCATAGTATTTTCCAATAGGGGCCCAAATTTAGCAGAGCCAATTTGGACAAAAATTCCATAACTGCTTAGAACTCCATAGAATCCAAGTATTATTTTATTTTATTTTTTTACAATCCGTATACTTAAAAAAAAGAAGAAGACTAATATCTCAGAAGTAAAGGGCGGGGGAGCCCATCGCAATGTAATGGTCATGACCTTAAGCATTCTGTGCCATGTCCTATGTCCACATCAGGTCTTTCAACATCCCATCACTCTTCCTACTTCTAGTAGCAGCTACATTCCAAAACAGCACTCCTTGAGATCAGCTACTAAAGGAAGTTTGCCAGATTCTGCTTACATGAATATTTCCCCCCCAAGAATTCTGACCTGTCCTATGAACAGGTCAACACACAACTCAACACTCAACTCAACAAATCAACACTAATTATAATCCATGTTCTACAGTCATGTTCCTTAGTGGGAGATTGTCATTGTTTATGGACATATTTACCTGCAAATGCTGAAGATCATCTTCTTGAATGTTCTGTGATAAATTGTACACCTAGAAAACACGTTATTAGTTTTTTTTACATTTCTGCAACAGATTTTGTACATTTCCCTATTAAAAAATACACCAGCACTGAATGAGTTACTACCCAAACTAACAATCAGGGATGGGATCACACTGTCCTAAATCCTAGTCAGAATGCTTCACATCAGAAGTAAAAAGGGAGTTTTTAAAGCAAAGCAAACACTAGCATGATCATTTCTCAAGTTGCCTCGTGTCAAAAGTTAATAAATGCTAACCTGTGATGGCCACAGAAATAAGGAATCAAAACCAATGGGATTTGGGTGGTTAACTAAGCAGACAGAGCCCTGTTGCTAGGTATTATGTGGTGGGGCATACATCAGACGCCAGAGCTCTTCAAAACACTCCCCAGCTTAGCAATGGTGAGCCTTCCTTCTCATTTTAGTGAGTGCTAAGGCACTTTCCTGCTCCTTTGTCCAGCAAATATATGATTCTGTTTAAAACATAAAATTGTAAAACAGAACCAGTGCCGAATCAAATTAATTCTCTAAAATCGTTTGGCAAAACTAAAACTATTTTCAATAGGCATTGAAATACCAAAATTGTCAATGTCTGCCTTCATAGGAACAGTTTTCCAAAATACTGGTGACACTGTTCTAGAAACCTTACTGAGGGTTCACAGTCACTAATCAGATCTAAGACTGTTTAGCTTTAAGCAAAGCTGCTGTGTCATATGGCTTCAGACTGTGCATTTTGAAGCTGTAGCCTGAGGATATTTAGAGGCTACCACCACTTTGAAAAACATATATCCTTAGCAGTGTTCGAAACTCCCATTGTTCTAGGAGCATTTTGCGACGGGGAATTTCATTTCAAGGATCGCTCTGGGTGTAGTACTGCGCCTAAGATTTCAGATTAAAACTGCAGAGTGGAAGGAAAAGAAGACCTTTTTCTACCTCCCCATTTCCAGCTACTCCGAAGACTGGAGAAGAGACTCTCTTAATAATATTAGGTGGGTGGACAGGGAAAGGACTACTACACCATGTGAAAAATGAACTTAATATTTTAGCTGTGGTTCATTCATTTACAGCTTTGTGTTCTTTTTATTAAAAAAGCATGCCTAGACATTCCGTTGTGGCGCCCATAACCTAGGTTTAAGGTGCCATTTAGCTCCTAGCTTTCATATCTCAATTTTAAACACTGGTCCTTACCTGGACAGAACTTGTCATGGTGCTCAAAGCAAATACAGTTGCACAGTCTTTGATAGTTGATTGGCTATCAAAGGCACCTTGGGTATCCATTAGCAATACTGCAACCTAGAGGAGCGTTGCCATTAAAAAGAAGCAGCAAAATTACTAAACAGGCAGTTCTGACATCTCTTAAGCTAAAAACGTAAGCTATCCCAGCTGTCTTCTATTAAGCCATCTCAATTACCTCAATTTGGCTGCCATAAGATATATTCCACCAGCCAGCGACTGCTTTATTGGCAGCCTAAGGACTGGCCGCGGGTGGCGCTGTGGATAAAACCTCAGTGCCTAGGACTTGCTGATCGCATGGTCGGCGGTTCAAATCCCTGCGGCGGGGTGAGCTCCTGTCGTTCGGTCCCAGCTCCTGCCCACCTAGCAGTTCGAAAGCACCCCCAAGTGCAAGTAGATAAATAGGGACCGCTTTATAGCGGGAAGGTAAACGGCGTTTCCGTGTGCCGCGCTGGTGCTGGCTCGCCAGCTGCAGCTTCGTCACGCTGGCTACGTGGCCCGGAAGTGTCTTCGGACGGCGCCGGCTCATGGCATCTTGAGCGAGATGAGCACGCAACCCTAGAGTCGGACACGACTGGCCCGTATGGGCAGGGGTACCTTTACCTTTTAAGGACTGGCCAAGTAACCCAGCCACCTTTCACTCTGTTGCACTTTGGTTTTTTTATACAACATGTTTATGCACAAGACTGAACCAGGATCTTAACTAGATTCTAAATATGGCCCTACTTTGGGGGTGGGGTGGGGGTGGGGCTATTGCACACACTGTTCAAGTCATAAACAGGTAAGCTTTAATATTACCTTATCAGCTTCATGCAACTGACATTCAGTAACAAGTTGTCTGCGTATCTTGTTTCAACTTTACAAAATGGCAGCATTTTTTTCAAAGTGGCAGGAAATAAGATATGCAGAAAACTTGGTAAAAATATAAAATATATTAAGCTAATATTATTTATTTCATAACGTTTATATGCCACTTGATTGCAAAAGAAACAAAAAACCAATCCCTCAAAGTGATTTACAGAAATTATTTACCGTATTTTTTGCTCTATAGGACACACATTCTCCTCCTCCAAAAATGAAGGGGAAATGTGTGTGCGTCCTATGGAGCGAATGCAGGCTTTCGCTGAAGCCTGGAGAGCGAGAGGGGTCGGTGCGCACCGACCCCTCTCGCTCTCCTGGCTTCAGGAAGCTATCTGCAAGCCTGCGGAGCCCGGTGGGAGTTCCCGCCGGGCTCCTCAGGCTTGCGGACAGCTGCCTGCAGCCCGAAACCCGGGGAGCACGCGCTGCGCACCCCGGGCTTAGGGCAGCTATCCGCAAGCCTGCAGAGCCCGACGGGAACTCCTGCCAGGCTCCGAAGGCTTGCGGATAGCAGCCTGCAACCCGAAGCTGTTCTAGCTTCGGGATGGCTGCCGAAAGCCTCCACAGGGCGGCGGGGGGAAGGCACCCCGCCGCCCTGTGGAGGCTTGAAAGGCTGTCCCCGAAGCCAAAACAATGAGACGGGGCGCTGTGCAGCCCTCCGTCTCGCTGTTCTAGCTTTGGGATGGCTGCGCAAAGCCCCCGCAGTGCGGCGGGGTGCCTCCACTCCGCTGCCCTGCGGAGGCTACAAAGGATGTCCCCGAAGCCTCAAGCCTTTGGAGCGCAGCTGTGCTCCAAAGGCTTCAGGGATCTTTGAGGTTGGCGGTTGGGGAAAGCAGCGCTTCCCCCCACTGCCATGCCCCACAAGCTCGGGGGCAGCGGCAAGGCTGCGGGCAGCCTTTGCGCTGTTCCCCGACCTGCTCTTGAACGCACCTTGTTTTTGAGGGGGAGAACAAGAATTTTCCTGTTCTCCCCCTCCTATGGTCCGGTGCGTCCTATAGAGCGAAAAATACGGCAGCTCTTGAGGAGAGAGCTAAGGTTTGCCACAGTCACACAGTAATCCAACATACTTCAGACAGTAAACATCTGCCAGCTATTTAAAGTAATACCTTTGTCCCATCAGGCTTGGGAATTACGAACACTTCACTCCAGATCTGAATTCCAGTTGTTTCTCTCTCACACCCTCCTCTCCATGTAAACCCAGTCAAAGGCTCTTGGCTTCCACCTATCCAAGCTGATGATTCCTGTAACAGGAGTCACATACTTATTCAGTGCGTTAAGAGGTTCTAGGTAATCTTACATTAGAACATTTAAAATAACTAGTCAGGGGGATATCTTATTTCAATCAAAAAATGAATGTTTCAGTTTTGGGGAGTTTTCAATACCAGTCAGATGTTAAAGTGACTGCTCTCAAAGAACACAATTCTTGGTCCCCCCCCCCATGTTACTTCAAGGACAGTACAAGCTTTCTACATCTATAGAACCTGCAAAGAAAGATCCTGCTGAGTTAAGATACCCCGTAATCTTATTTGCATTTCTATTCATATTATGTTCCCATAAAGTCTTGTAACGGTGTTCCATTTCTTTGGCTTTTGTCAGCACTTGCCGAGCAGTTTGTTAAAGTATTCTGCCCTACCCTTTAATATATCTACGCTTTAATATAACCAGGGAACCAGCTTCACAATGCATAAGGCAATATTCAATGTTAGTTATACACAAAATAAACCTAGTTAAATCAATGGATTTAAGTAATACCTATTGATTTCTATAGGCCTACACACGAGTATGGCTTGGGTCACTATCACGAATAATGTTAACTGTGCAAGAATCTGCATGGTGTTTTTTATACAAACGCATCCATTTCAGCTCTATCAATTAGTAAAGGCTTGCACACACACACACACACACACACACACACACACACACCTTTTAAACAAGATGCAGGGAATTCCAAAGTGGCTCTCTGTACAAGTGCGGCCACACTGAAGAAGTCTAACCTAGCAGCATGTATTCCTAAGCAACTCTCCCATCATGTCTTTGCTGAGTTCATAGCAATCTAAGAGGTCATGGTTAGTACTAGTGTTCTTTCCAGAACTGCTGCCTGACTCTCTCAGCTGCAGAGATGCCTAGACTAGAACATCAAGAGACGCAAGTAGTGTCCCCTCTATCACTGAGCTCTTCCCTGCTCATAAAGGCACTGCTTGGTCATCCATGTTTATACCCAATGCTCCCTTAGCATAGCAAAGTGTTTCAACTCACAGAAGGCAAGGCAACTGATTTTTGCCATTTTCCTCCATATTTTAGTGTTTTCAGTGGCCCTGGGATCTACAGTAGATCAGACAAAATTAGCTAATAATCCTGCAGGTGTGGTTGTGTTTTCCACTGCTGCAAAGTAATCACTGGACATAGGCCATATTCTGCATGTTATTCTTTGAATAACCACGTACACCAAACTAATTTATACCAAAATAATTATGCCTTTTACTTCCAAAGTCAATATCAGATCACTCTGTCGAAGCCACAAGAGTTTAAGAACAAACTGGGGTTTTAAAGGTTTTATTTAGGAATGCATTACAATGAACCCTAAGAAGCAAATACCTTAACATTTCCAGTTAAAGAGTAGGACGTAAATGTTTTCAATAAAACAGACTTGCATTCAAACTAGTTTGACTTTTCAAGCTGGTGTGCTTTAAACTACTCACCTTGTTGTACATATACCTAAGCATAAAGTCCAAGAGAAAAGATTTGCCTTTACGGAATGCACCAGCTACAGAAACAACTACTATATTGAGATCTCTTATGTGCTCCTGAAGCAAAATTCTCTCCAATGCTGACTCATCCAGTTCGAAGTTATGATCGTCTTCATGAGCAAGAACAATTTGTATTGGGCGTGGCTTCTCTGGAACCACCTCTTCATCAGTATCCAAAAGGGCGTTCTCTTCTGCGTCCACAAAGTTTTCCCCTAGGAAATTATTTTTTTAACATTAGTTACATTCTGTTTCCAAATTCTGTTAGAACAATTCTGTTCATTTATACATTAAGTGAAATGGAACGTAGGTTTCTTATCACTAGGAATGACAACTTGGTAAGTCATCCCAGAACAGCTGCCCCTTCAGCAAAATTACCTTTTCCCTCCCGCTTACCACAGCACGTCTAGAAAACATTTTCAACCTGGGAAGCAACTTTACAGTTTGGTTTACCAAGTAAGCTCGCATGCATTTTAATTCTGTGTTAAGCCCCAAAACTAAGCAAACCACAATAAAGAAGACCTGATAGTCTCATTGTCAATATTAAAGAAAACTATATAGTAGTTCTCCGTCTAGCTGAATTACATCAGTAGCTTTCAAACTTTTCAGACCTGGGACCCACTTTTACCCTAAACACACCTTTAGGAATCCACTTCTTAAATTTCTTACCATATATTTGAAAGGTAGTAGTTCTGTTGTGCTCCATCTTGGGTCAGACTGAGACCCAATTTACCAGCTGAAGAACCAATGAACTAAATGGAATGCAACAGAACCTTCTGGTCCAAGCCAGAACCACAAACCTGCTCTCATGGATGGCCAACTTTCTCCTTCCCACCATGGGACATTCAGAAAGCACGCTTCTTCCTTCTAGCCCTGCGTCAACTTACAGTAGAAGGACAAAACTCATTGTAGTGTCCTGGTTTTATCCCACTGTGCCTGTGAATGTATTAAAGTTCTCTCTGTGCAGTTTTAGAAAAGGAATTATTTTATTCTGAACGGTGCAAATTCCTAAATTTTTTTCTGGGTTCTTGTTCGCTTCTAAACATAGTGGCTATTAGTGCCAGTGTTAGAAATTCAGATATATAAACTAGGCGCCAAATGGCTCCTTAAACCAGGGTTGCAGGCACCAAAATGGAATGTCCAGTTGCCATTTTTGAGCAAGAAGGCTCTAAAGTCTTATTTTTCAAATGATGGAATGCCAAATATTAGTGAGAAATGGTTGTCCGCATGCTCTGGTTCTGCAATACTGTAGCACAGCTGAACTGAAGTTAGCAAACAGTTTTAACCTGACTGACTTCCCTAGTTCCTGAATTGTGCTGAATTAAGACTCTGTGTGCAAGATATATGTTGACACTTGCATAACCTACAAAGTCCAACACTTCAGATTTAAACAGAGAAATGCATGCATAAAGTTTTCTGTGAAGGAGAAATACAGAACAGCATTTGTTAAGAAAATATCTAAAATCAATCTATAGAACCACAATGAACTATTGTTGGATATGGCACCATTCCATTCATTTGGGCACATACCAAATGTTTACTCAAACCTTCACCCCACAAAGGAAGCAATTCAGATTACATATTAAAATTAGAAGTGTATTTGGGCAAGATCCAATGTCATGCCAGCAGACACAATATGATTTCCATGTCTTCTACGCCTCACCACCCACAGAGGGTCACCCAATGTTCCTAGAGCAAATTTTGGGTGGGCATTAAGGGAAGAGGGGAAGGGTAAATCCTGTTTGCCAAAGCAAAACACCACATTTGGTTAGCACCATTTGTATACAAGGCAGCTCTCAGAAGAGGAAGTCAACACTTATCTGAATGTTGCATTAGCAGATGTTACTGGTGAATGATATCCAATCTTAATCATACTCCAAGTAGACCTACTGAAATCAATGGGCTCAAGTCCATTTATTTCAATATGTCTACGCAGAGTGTGGCTTAGTTGGACATCACTCTGTGTTTAAGGAACTCAAGGGGGTTTGCTGAACTAAACATGAAGAATTCACTTTTCAAACTCCACAACAGCTGATATTGGATTGCCTGAGATGAGCCAGGGATTTAGTCATGCAGCTTGCATACTGTTTCCTCCACTTAAAGAAATTGGGGGGTTTTTTTGGGGGGGGGGTTACTTAAAACACACCACATACAAATCATGGTCTCTTTTTTTGCTGTCAGCTGAAATGGATTGAGGGTCTAGTAATCTCTTGCACAATAGATTTTCAGTATGAAACCGAATTCTGCTATTACTATGCAAATTTTTCAAGAAAAAATTAACTGTTTAAATGGAAACATTTTTAGAAAAACAATTAGAACACTACCTTGGAAGATGTGTTTTACTGGCTGTCTTCCTGACAAACCGACAAGGAATGCACTACATTCCACAGCCTGTAGTTCTGTGCCAATGGCTATTAATGGATCTCAGCTACAACTGAATACAGCATTTCTCTGGCAACAACAGTTTGAAGTTAGCATGGGCATTTTTGGGTGACCTGCTTCTGATAATTATTCATTCAGGCTGCAGAAAAATATTTAGAATTTCCATCAACATCCCCTTCCTCCCACTTTTAAGGTCCAATTATAACCAGTGCTGTATTATTGATCTCTATAAGATGAAAAAATCCTTCAAATAAAGATCCAAATTTAGCAACAAAACTCTTCAAGTAACCAAAAAATGTATCTGAAATAGGAAAGCATGTCTTATCTACCCAGGTGTTTACTTTAACTAGGTACATACAAGTAGTCACCAAATTGCAGCTTTTATCGCAGTAGTGCAAGCATTATTCATACTATCTTTTGGAATCTGCTTCCCTGCAGATTTCTTACAAACTGAAATCTAAGTAGTTGTTCCACAAGTCTGATTAGAAACTGCTTTGATTAGGAACCCCCTATGGATCAGGTGACAGGTCTCAGAACAGAACAGCTAGTAAGTTCAATAGACAATGTTCCTAGCAATGGAGGTGAAACACCAATAAAAATTCAAAGTAGTGAGTAGAAAGGACCACAGCTTCTATAGCTTAGGGAGTGCTACTCTTATAATAAGTGTTTTTAAACATGTCAGACGTATCCCAATAGAATTCTTTAAATGGTCACACTGATAGGCTATTATCAGAAGCCTTATCTATATGCGCTTAGCATCTTCCCCACCAATTTTCTCCGCGGCACAAATAAGTGATCTCCCTCTTATTGGATCTGTATTAATTTTCAGGTTGCCAAATTTAAGCATCCCTGCTGCATGGATTATGGACCACTTCTGACACACTTTCAAACACACCCTAAGTATCTCATCTTTAGCCTACTACTTTTTGGCCAGAGTCCAACAAGAAAGCAACACCAGATCCCTTTCCCCTACCTGGATCCAGTTGCATGCTAGAAAAGATCTACATTACAGAATAGTTAAAATATGGCACTGCTAGTACCTTTAAAATAAATCATTTCTTAGCCCAAGGATACTGAAGACTCAATATTATTCTTCCAAGACAGCATCCCACAACAATCCAGTCATCCTCCTGCCATTCTCTAACCGCTAGTCCACAACTTAAACACTAATGAGTCACTCCCCACACTGTACTAGACCAACAGAAGAAAGTGCTACTTCTAGTTGTTACTGGACCTGTCAGTGTATTAGACAGAACTGAACAAATCATGAAACATTTTAAGCAACCTGAGACCTTCAGCAGGATGTAGCACAATTTAACAGCAAATCAGAATGATATTGGAACACAGTCTCAGCTATTCAAGTGGGATGAAGTGCTGTTTACGTAAGAAGATACCCTGACCTAAAAGCCTGTACAGTGGTGCCTCGCAAGACGAAATTAATTCGTTCCGCAAGTCTTTTCGTCTTGCGATGTTTTTCGTCTTGCGAAGCATGGTCCGTCGCAACTGCGCCTCTTCAAGCGGCTTTAAGAAAAAAGCGAACAAACTCGCAAGACGTTTTCGTCTTGCAAAGCAAGCCTATATGGAAATTCGTCTAGCGAAGCAACGCAAAAACTGAAAAACCCTTTCGTCTAGCGAGTTTTTCATCTTGCGAGGCATTCATCTTGTGGGGCACCACTGTATATTCTGGCCAATTTAAATATGCCATTGCTACACACTTTCTCAGAGCAGCCAGGAGCCTTTATGACTAATAGTCAGAGTTAGACAGGTTGGACAAAACTGTCACAGAAATGGCTCTGAAACAGTTGAAGACACAGAAATATTTCACCATTTCATGACTTTTGCTAGGAGGCATTATCCCCTTCTTCCTCCACTTTTGATAGTATTTAACAGTAAAAAAGAACATTTGACAGGATAGATTAGATCCATTTCAACTGCTCATATATCTGCAGTGACAGTGGAAACAGTTAATATTTCAGAGTTTGTTCTTTCGCCAGTGGTTGTATAATTGTTTATTAATGTTGGTTATTGTATTTTAAAAGTTTAAAAATAATACAAATAGTCAGAAGATAATAAACAAGGTAATATTTACATTAAACATGGGTCATTTTTATTTTGTAATGTTAAAAGTATGGAGCTGCTGTTTCATTTAATTTAAAGAATATCTGATTGACCCATATGAGGAAAGTAGATAAAGAACAATCAGTTAAAAAATAAAACTTCATCTGGTCTAGTAACTGACTTTAAAAAATAATCTCAAAAAGAAAAATGTTAGTCCCTACCTGATAGAACTAAGCCACATGTCATCTTGGTGAGCTCTGCAGCCTCCAAGAACAGGCATAGTTGCAACATGAGCTTAGCTAGGCAAAAGCTATCTGGCACAAGCAGCCATGGTTAAGCATAAAACCAGGGGCACATCCAAACTCTAAACCTGCATTTTCAAAGCAAGTGCTACCCTCTCAAACTATGCCCAAGACAGCTCTACTGACCAATACCATCTCTATCTTGTCTGGGTTAAGTTTAAATTGGTTTGCTTGCATCAAGTCCATCACTGCGACTCATAACCTGTGAAATCAACACACCAATTTTAAAGCTGCTTTTGTTTTTAAAAAGTGAAAAAAAAATGTCATGAATTGGCCTTACTGGATGCAACGACAGACAAGTCCTGTATCTCATTCTAATCATCTACTGAATCCAGCTGTGTGGTCTTGTACTCTTCTACTCTGCATAACAAAGGGTGCTGGATTATGCTCCTTGGCAGTATGAAAGTTGAGTTGCAAATATATATTTTAAGTGTTATACATGTATATACATTTCCCACCTCAAGAATACCCAA